AGTCTTTTAGCCACTGAACCGGCGTCACAAATACGTCCAGTAAGCCACTATATCCATCTATCTTGTGGCTGACTGCTACGCTAGTAAAGCCTGACTGACCCAGAAATCTCTGTGACAGATTCTCCTGCATCTAGCTAGACTCCCAGAACCAGCTAAGCTATAGCCCAGCTATAAAGGAAACAGACGCGCAACACGGAGCACGCTTATTCACCACGGGTATTGCGGATAAAGTGTACACGCAGGGAGCTACTCATGTTCAGGATGGGGGATTAGGTTAAACAGAGGTTGATGATTGGTCACTGTTTGTACGGTCACTGCACACAGAGTTGTACGGCCGCTCCTCCCAATCCTGGCGTGCAGACATGCGATGACACACAAAGCGATAACGTGTCCCACACTCTCTATGCAACTATATGTGTAGATTGCACTTTCAATGCTTGATTAATTAAACTCAGGATGAAAATTTTATTAAATTCTCTAATTTCTCCATAGAAATAACTTTCTGTTTCCCCATAATCACACCACCACATCTGTGCAGTTTATTCGTAATGATATCCAATGTTTTTTATTATCTCCTTTATCTTCTACATTTTCTGTTTAGTATAAAATACCACTTATATACCTCTTTTTTGACCCAGGCTATTTGATCGATTGTCCTACTTTTATAGAAGATCTTTTACTCCCTCAGAATACGATCATCTTGTTTACTTTACTTCCAGATTACTGATCGTAGAGGCATGATTGCAATGCTATACTCAACAGGTCCTTCTGCAACTATCAACTCAAGTCGTATAGATCTCCACCTTCCAAAAGAGACTCTCCAAGATAAGAATTTTTCTATCCCATCCTTAGTACCAATGCCATGGGCATCTCACGGTGGAGACGATGTAGGCGTCTATGCAAATGGTGCGTTTAGCCAACTCTTCCATTCCACTGTGGATAACACTTTTATTGCGCAAGCTATGAAATTTGTCATGTGTTTGGAACCTTTCGTAAAAGAAGCGCACTGCTCCTCCGCGACTATTGGTCTTTCTACGGTTTCAATTATTGGCATCCTCATTGTCACCATATGTCGACTCTAATTGACCCGATGAACTTGGTTTCCCTTTATATTTGCAGGACATTTAAATTATGTAAAAATCACAGTAGCATGTTAATTTATGGAACTATGAAAAAATCCAGGTAATTAAAAGTACCCTCTCCAAACAATCTTCAATCTGGATGGATTGCGTCCCGTAAGAGAAATGTCCACGCCAAGTATGACCTATTGATCCCTGTCTAACTGGGTATAATTTATTGAATATTTTACGATTGGAAATCATTTTATTAGTTGGTGGAGCCGTAGAATGTTGAAGCATTTATTTATTTATTTCAAATGGCAGGCGTTTTGATAGTTATCATTAACCCTTTAGATGACTTCGGGCTTTACAGAGAGGAGGAGGAGCATCAAAGTAACAGAAAGTCCACGGGCGGGGAACAGAAGTGATTTACAGATGTAGGAGAGACAGACACAAAGGTAGAGAAACGGTAGGATGAGTACTGTAGAAGTGGTTGAATATGGCATACAGTTGGACCATTGTAGTTTGAAGTCAGAAGTCAACTGCCGGTTAATAGACTTTTTGCCGTATGAGTATACGTTGTCCAGGGTGCATCACGTGGAGGCAAGTCTATCGCACACCCCGAGTTGAAGCATAGATGACGCTGAACGTTAGGCGACAATTACTTCAGTTATGACAACTTCTCTAGCTCATTGGATTGGATTATGGGGACTTGTTTAGTCACCACGGCATGATTCATTTGTACGCAATTATAAACGTTAAGGCAAAATGCGTACAATTTTTAATCTTAGAAATGCATCTTCCCATGCGGAGTGGGTTAGCAGTATTCAAGTGTGGAACGTTGAAGAGAGAATTTGGTGAGATACACTAAATCATGTCAGATCAATACAAAGCTGTGCTTTATTAGAACATTAGCCGTCAAGGTAATTTAAACCCCCATTCTGACTATCACCAACTATTTGTGAAAACTATCCACCAACAAATTAACACCTCTAATATCCTGAAGATGTTACCTACTATTTTAATTCGCCCTCTGTGGATATCCTTACAAGAACATTAGAGAAAAAAATTTCCTTTGATCAAATAAACTTTTTGAGCAAGGTATTGCAAAAGTGTTTGAAAGATCGGTTTAATTGTTGTTCATACAAGAATTCATTGCCTCTGGGGGGTTCACGGTCCTATCTGACCAAAAGTCACTAACATATTCCTATGGAGCCCGTTCGGACCGCTAGTATCCAACTCTAGATTAATTTCCCCATAAAGCGTTGAGGTGTCCTCAAGTAGTTTATTTTAATATCAGTGGAATAATAACTCGAGTGGGTTGCAATACTGCCAAAGCCGACCAAGGGGGGGGGCTCTTGTGTGCCTGAACATTTTTGGATAGTGTCGACGTTTACAGAGTCCTACCAACCAATCAAAGATCTATTTAATTGAACGCTATTTTTGACGCCAAGAACACACTCGTTCTCTCTCTCTCTCTAGGAAGGCTTGGATGCATTCATTTTGCTGGTGTTTATTAAACCCTGTTTGATGAAGCTCCGATAATAATATCTAAAAAAATATTTATTTATTTCAAATGGCAGGCGTTTTAATAGCTATC